AGACCATATTTCTTATACTTATAGCAGTCCCCCTTTTACTGACATCCTTTGGAAGGAATTGTTATTCTCTTCAGACTTTTGTCTGCAGTTCCTGAAAATATGATCTTTCAAGCTACATCTATTGTCTTGTGGTTTATTTCTTCCATTCTGTGTAACTAGTTGTCTAATTAATCCTTTCAGTTCTTTTAGACTACCATCAGAGATAGTTCATGTTTCTGTACTTATTAATCTGATTTAAGGTTTCTTCTTTCCTCTGTACCTTGTTCTGGAACTTTGCTCTGGATACTTCTCTTTGATATGTCACTGTGAATCTGCTGTATAAGGCAGCTACCAATACTCAATAGTTCATGATATTAGAGCTACATGTATGGTCAAAAACTCACTTAAATGCAAAAATATGAAACACAAATGAACTTACTCAAAACCTTTGTAAACTTAACCCCAAACTGCATTTATTAACCATACAAATCTAATACCAATCACCATTTTTCTCATATGCCATGGACTTCACCTCAACTTCTCAGGTCTCTCTACCTTAACTCCAAACTTCAAATACTTTATTTCTTGTGCTATTCTCACCCTTATGTTTTCCTCTTCCAAGTTACCCCAACCATGTGACTTAGTTATTTATTATTAACAGTTCTTCTACCTTTCCCTATCTAAACTCCACATTATCTCCAAATTCTACTGCTACCAACGTTCACACTCTAGTACCTCCACTGCTCAATCTTCCCATTTAACAACATCTTCACTCACAGCACTCTTCCCAGCACTTTTAGATCTGCTAACAAACCTAACCCAAATCACATTTTCCCACCAATATGTAGTTCCACAACTAACAACATTCATTCATGCTTCTGAAGTCTATTCTTCACTACTAACAACCACTTCATATTCCACTTCTCTTTCTTTGAAACAATCCAAAACCAATGTCACTGTAACTATTGTATATTCTGCAATACAATCTTAGCCAGCCAATGATGTCCCCACTTCTCCTGCAGAACTTCCTTCATCAGAATACCATAGTCCATCTTCTACTAACATCAATTCTCTTAACAACCTTCAACCTAAATCTCATGCTTCATCACACTGTATACTACTTTATGAAAAAAATACTCTTCCTTCCTTTGAATTCCCTCTTTCTTGATGTGGCCAGTCCAGTGACATTCTCACCTCAGTTTCTGACAAACTAAATCAAACTCAAACTAAATCACACCATGAATCGATAGCAGAAAACAACTTTTACAGAAACTTAGAAAACATAATGAAAAATGCACCAGATACCATCAACATGTCAAGTCTCTACTCTGTAATGTACAGAATAGAAATATATCCCTATTTTGTACACAAAAAGCACTCATCACAATAGGAGCTTATGACCAGTATTTCTGCAACAAATGGTACCAGATTCTCAAAAGTACCTCTTTAGAACCCATGTCTGTATTCTAGATAAGGAAATCTCCTACTGTTGTCATCTTTACAACCTATTAATTTCCTATATATATTCCTTTTATTTTTCTATCTCTTTCTTCTTGATCATCTTTTAGCTTTCTGTTCTTTTTATTTTTCTAGCTTTCTATCTCTTTCTTGACCTATTTAACTGTATCTTCATCTCTAGTAAAGTTTCAACCTCACTTCATGATTGGATTGTTATCTTGAAATTTAGTCAAAATTCTAATTTATTTTCACCAAAATAATTATATTCCTGACACCAGTGTTATAATGTGTTATATTGTTGGGTGGGTTCTTATTTGTAATGCTTTTGCATAGAAGAACAGTAAGTATCTGATAAGTTTTTTTGAAGGAAATGTTAGTGTAATACAAAAAGCATTTGTAATGCTTTTGCATAGAAGAACTGTGTCGAGTACATTAATTGTCTTCTGTACCTTCATCAGGAAATATGTGTGTTGCTCTAGAAATTGTTTGTGTCTGATACAAAAAGAATTTGATATGGCTTTTGCAGGAAATGTGTGTAGAATTCTTACCCCTAGATTACAAGTCAGATTGAACCTAAGTGGGCTCTGAAAAGTTGATAAATTTTAGAATAATAAAATATTCACCCCATATATGTTTGAATCAATATTGGTACAGTAAAGACACAGGACTGAAAAAGAATGACTAGATTTATAATACTAGGATAAAATACCAGAAATCAATGTACCTTAAAATGACACTTAAAGATCATGTTGAAAGCTTTAAGATATTAAACTTGATCTTTAAAGAATGGATTTACTTTTTCATACTTTAAGAAGATGCATAGTGTATTTTAATGCCTTCTGTGATTTGCCTGAGATAACTGAGGCACCATCCATGTTTCAAAACATATTTGTCTGAGTTACTTTGGGCAAACCATTTCTCTTCATATTTTTAATTATTTGGCCAAATTTAATCTCATGTATTACAATCAGTGCTCACTAGATGTTACTGGAAATGGTGTTTGTGCTGATCTATATCAGATTGATTTTGGATTATGTAACATAAACACTGGAGAAAAGCATTCCTATTCTTTACTGTAATTTCATGGAAATTAACATATCAAGTATGAATCCAGATATGTAAAATGTATTTATTAAGTATATTTTGTGCAGAAAAATAACAACAGATTGGAAAACTAATTTTATTTCAATAATTAATAAGTATAGGCTATCAAAAAACGAAATAAGTAAACTAACTTTTTTGAGCTTATTTCCAAAAATAAAACCTGGCACAGAAGGGGTTAAATAAAAATCAGAAACTGGTTATACTGGCACTAGGTTAAACATTATAGGATTTCTGTTACTTTCAAAATTACATGGGAAGTATTAAAACAAGATTTTTTTTGCAACTAGAAATTTTGGCATTTTCTTTTTTTACAAAGAAAAAAACGTTTCAGTATTCTTCAGACATTTATGTATGATTTTTTTATGAATTTTTTTAAATCTAGATTTTGTGTAAAACTTCCATCATAGAAAGAATATTAGTTCTAATAAAATTTATTAATACTTTCTTACTAAACATTATCCATAATAATGTATTATCTAAGTATGATCTAACCTTCCAACAGGGAAAGTAAAGAAATGAAAAGCCGTCAGGCTAAAGCATCGGTCGAAACAGCAAAAGAGGTATCCAGTGATAAAACTCTTCGGAACAAAGCAGAGAGAGAGAGGTAAGAACAACATTAAATTCTTTCAACACTATTTCTTATGCATAATATGATCATTTATTATTTTTATTTAAAGACTGTTTGGAATATATGCAAAGAAATTATGTATTCAGTTTTATTTCTATCTAACTCCGTTACCCTCAATGTTTCAAAACATATTTGCCTGATTTAATTCTGGTGAACCATTTCTCTTCCTATTTTTAATTATTTGGCCAAATTTATTTGCATGTTATTATGTATTACCATCAGTGCTCAGATCATTAATCACTGTAACTAATTTTCAAACAGATTCTGTATATGTACAAATTGTATTTCAGTAATTAAGTATCATTATTTCTATTATACAGGAGGTTACGTGAAAAGAACAGCAACAACACAAAAAAGTTTATCGAAGAAAGAAAGACCTCAGCTCTTAAACAGGGAAGGGAACGTGAAAAACAGAAAAAGTGTCATGAAAAACAGATCCAAGATCTGTCCAAAGATATTGAAAATGTATGTTTACCTGAGCTTTTTAAACAATCAAGCAATTCAGTTTAAAAGACATCTAACAAAATGGTAGTTTTATAATCATGCAAAATAAAAATGAATAGAAATTAAACTTTGGTAATATTTTTCTTCTGGCATAGTGATGTAAGCAAAATTTTTAATGTTTCATTTTAGTTATTTGCTGGAGGGCTCATGACGTTAAAAGTTCATGAAAATTAAGGATCAAGAAGTTTTGTGGAGCTTGTAGAAACAAGGCTCGATTATGAGTTTTGAGTAATTAGTATGTGTTTATTGAGTAAATTGGTGAATATTCAATAAGTTTAATGTTACAGTAAATTCTGTAAGTAAGTTTATTTGTAAGTTAGGTATAGGTAACATTAGGATCAGAGTTTTTATTTAAAATGTTTGTGAATTTAGGTCTACAATTTGTGTCAAATTGTAAGAAGCCTGTAGCAAATGTTATTGAAAAAATGTTAATTCATTATCATTAAGTGGACTGGGCTTAGCATTATTTTCACAAAATAATCCAAGCTTTTCGTATTACACAAACATTTCCTTCAAAAAAGCTTATCAGATACTTACTGTACTAGACAAATATTTCCCAGATAAACCATAGCAGATGATTAGTGTATTAAACACAGACCTTTCATGTTGAAATCTCACAAGATACTTTCTGTATACACATAGATCTTTCTTCCAGATAAAACATCAGAAACCTTCTTATATTACAAACAAACGTTCTTCGGAGAAAGTATATTGGATCAGTAAGTGTCCCTCTATCATATCAAGCTTTAATTATTTTTCAGACAGATGAATGTACTGATTAATTTTCCAACAATTACTGGGATTTCAATGCGTGTCAAATTTGGAATAGGAAGATGAAACTTAAGTGTTATAAATGCTTTTGTACAACAAAAAGGTGTACAAAATTATACAGAATTAACATTCAGCTTTAAAGGTATGTTATAGCTACATATAATATCAACTCCTGGAAAAAGCACAAGCAACTCTGCTCCTATGTGAATAAATTAAACTGTAAGTCCGTTAAGGATGTTTTTGTTGTTTATTTGTCAATGATTAATCTTGCCTATTTAGAGTGAACTACTTAGCAGTTATATTTTTGACACTAATTAAGCTTTTCAGCATCATACTATTTGAAACCAATGTAACTGTATGTATTCTCTGTTAGTGTATAGCTTTTTGTAAAATATAAATCTTGCATGATAGATATTCTCTTCTTATTCTAATGCTCAAGCATGTATGGGTTAAAAATTTGCTGAAGCTCTGTCGCCACTTCTTCCAAAATTGCAATTTCATTTGCAGTCATTCAATCAACATATTTTCATTTCCATTTTACTTTAGAATATTCTCAATTTCTTTACTCACCTCTCAAACTTCGTTTCTAATTGTTTTATCTGTCCAGCTTGAGCCACCTCCATTAGCCTCTTAAGGATATCTCCCTGATATTGGAGATGGGCCTTTAACAAGTCCCATTCATCCCGACGGTGTCGCTCCAACATTTCAGACCATTGCTTCATCTGGTCTACTACCAGCTCTCGAACCTGTGGGTCATTTGCCAGGTCTTCTCTGTAAATTGTTACATAATGATATACTAATATTAATAACAGGCATATTATAGGAATGTACATTACAATTATAGCTGAAATATGAGTTTAGTCTTTTTTGGACTGTAAAACATTTTAGTTTTTGCAGGCCCAACTGATACTGCAGCCAAATAACCAGCTTACTTAAATAAAATAATTACTAATCTTGTATATTCTTGTTTAATTTCTTTTTTTTTTCTAATGGAGGAAAACATTTTCTTTTAACAAATACACACACATTGTTTGTTTAAAGACCATATCAACACTGAGCCTCACATTTTCTCTTTATACTGATACTTGTAAGCATGTTTTAGCTAGTACTTTGAAGAAAACATTGCTCCTGGATATATATACAAAGTCAAAGCTAAAAATTTTCTTTTGTGCTCGAGCTATATGTACTTTTCAGATATGAAAACTATCTCATCCACCAATGTTTGAAGAATGAAAATTAACATCTGAATAAAAAGTAAAAGGAGTGACACTGGTAATAAGCATGCATCTTGTGTTTTTGGCATTTAATCTTACAATGCCATGAAAGGTTCACTGAAAAATCAACAAACAACCCAAAAACAAATGTGATAGTGAAAAGATGACAGAGAAGGTATACATATTGCAGTACTTTCACAGCACTGTGAACCTCTTGCATTGTTATCACTTAGGTCTAGCATTAATACAGACATTCATGTAACCATTCATATAATGGTTATCACTATTGTATATGTCACTATACTTTTTTTTAAGTGAAAATAACCATGGACATAAGAACATTATTGTTTTCAGTGTAAAATATCATTATTAATTCCTATGATATGAACTTAAAAACACTGAAAGAATGATATTAAATAGCTTAATCGTTGGCCACCTTAACTACCGAGTTTTTGGGCTTAGAAATTTTATACTAAGTTTTGAATCATTTTACATTAGTTTTAATACTGAAAACAGTAAATTTTTAATTAAACAGATTCAAATACTTTGTCTCATTTTTGTTTGATACATATAATTATTACTGTTGAGAAGACGAATATTAACAATATTTATATATGTAGCACATGTGAAATTTAAAATTATTAATGTTAGTTTTCACCCAGTAATGTGCACTGCTTCAGTTAATACAAGGTTTCTTTGCTGTGCCATCTTTCTATAGAAGAAATATCCACAACTGATGAAGGTAATATCTACAAATACTTCACATTTACTTTTACTGAATTACAGTTTATATTCCATCTCTATTGTTTCATTATAAATTCACTTATTTTAAGAAATACCCATTCTAGACTAAAATAATCTAAATCTTTGATAAAAACTGTGAATAGCTGATTACCTTTTTTTTCCCTTTATGATTTTGTCAATGGCAACACACTGTTGCTTCTGAATTCCACTTTTCTCTTTATGATGACGTTTCTTCATGGTTTCTAGTTCTTTTTGTTGTTTTCTAGTCAATTTAAGGAAAGACTTTTCAGTTTTAAGGTTCTCTGAAGTAATGGGTTCCATCTCAATGTCATCTGTAATGTTACATCAAAATAAAAATATAAAACAAGGACAAATCACTCTGAAAATAGGCAAACAAATTCCAAACTATATTCTCCAATTCATTTCACTAATTTTTACAAGATGTTTCTGAATTTTCTATTTTATTTGTCAAGAACTCAAGAAAATGCCATTTACTACTATAAACTTTCATACAAAATGGAGAGTTCAAGGTGGGACAAAGAAAAAACAATTTCAAGTTATTTTGATCAAGAATATGTTTCAAAATCTTATGAGTTGTTCTGTTTTTCAGTATGATGTGAGAAGAAATGTAATTATATTTAAAGAAAGCTAGATTAAAATATTAGTCTGTTCTTAATCTAAAACCATTTTAAATCATCAATCATAAATCATCCAACAGCTGAAGTATTAGTCATTGTCCCATGATACACTGAAAGACTTCATATATAAATATATATATATATATATAATTTAAGGACAACAATGGACCTGTTGGTCCATCTAAGCCACCCCATCCACTATACTAAACTATAAAATAAAAATGAAACACTTAGAGCCAGCTCTTATCATTCAAATATTTATCAAACCTTCTCTTAAACTCCCTTAAATAAACTGCATCTATCACATCTGAAGGCAACCCATACCAAAAGCCAAACACCCTGTTTAGTAAAATAAAGCTGTCTTAGCTGAATATGACTCCTACCCTGCCAAAATTTATATTGTGTCCCCTAGTCTTACCATTCTCACCATTAAGT